CAATTAGGAACTCAAAATACCAAATTTGTTACAATTCCGGTGAAAAGTATGTCAGAAATTAACAAAATACCGAATATATAGGGGGGGGGGGTGGTACAGTTATATGGAGACTATATCTAAATTTCGATCTATATGGGCAGTTCTATTCAAAATGTTTCTTATGTTTCATAATGGCAACACATTCTGCCAATTTACAGAACTTGCTATTCTGGTTAAAATTGGAAGGAAACCTGATTTATGATTTTGGTGTTAAGGGTGAAGGGATTTGAACTTTAAGGTCACAAAATTGGAATTTGAAGTTCCCAATGAGTACTACATTCTATGACAGAAAATTGCTCATAAAAATCCACGTCTTCGTATAGCCCCCTGATGGTACCCCTCTAATTCTATTTTGATGATTTAGTGACACTTTTCATCGGAGTTGTTTCCCGTTTCGTTTTGGAATATCATAAGGGCGTACGGCAACCAAATGCAGACTGCTGTCATTTCTAAGCCACTCGTTCGACAGTTGTTTAAATTAGCTCATTACAAGCGTACAAAAGCCTTTTGGAAATAATTTTCCAAAAAAAAAGTTATTCGTGATAGAATTCAAGAGAGAGACTGTGATTTCTTAATATTTGGCTGGAAAACCACAAATGGCTATCGTTAGAGCACTCCAGCATTTAAATGTGAATAAATCTTTTGTGTCTCGTACCATCGCTCGTTACCGTGATACTGGTAGCGTAGCCCAACGTCAAGGAAGTGGACGGAAGATAAGAGCAAAATCAGTAGAAATGGTTCGAAAAGTTAAGAAGCGACTTGATCGAAACCTGCGTCGCAGTGGCCGAAAAATGGTTCGTGAGCTGAATATATCGCAGTATTCCATTCGGAAAATATTGAAAATAGCTTGGGATAAAGCCATTGAAATTCCAAAAAGTGCAAGAACTTTCACCGCAACAGAAACAAAAAAGAGACTCAAAAGAGCTAATGAGTTCTTGGCCTGGCCGAAAGTGGTGAACTGCCGAATTTGGTTTTCTCCGATGAGAAAACATTCGTTGTCTAGCAGTTTGTAAACAAACAGTAAAACAAAGAGGTCAGCTGAAAGTGTGAACCTTCGGTTGGCCACCAGAACTCAAGCGCCGGCCATGGTGATGGAGTGGGCCGCCATAACAGTCGATGTTCGCTCTCCACTCGCATTAATAGACTGTGGCATCAGAATAAATTCCGAATATTATCGCGAAAATATTCTGGAGGGTATATTAAAGCCTTAGGCACGCAAACATTTTGGCCGCAGACCTTGGACATTCCAACAGGACTTAGCACCATCGCACTCAGCACACACCACCCAAGAATGGTTACAAACTGTGGTTCCTCGCTTCATTTCCAGCAAACATTGGCCTCCAAAATTCGGACACTAATCCGTTGGACAATTGTGTCTGGAGTTTTTTTGGAAAGCAGACTTGGCACTTAAAAATACCAAAGTGTCGATCACCTCAAGCAAGCGCTTCGCCGGAAATCGGCAAAAATACCGCACAGCAATATTTGGGCAGCGTGTGACGGTTTCGTTAGCCGTTTGATTCGTGCCAAAGTTGAGCAATTCGAACAAATCTAAACTTATTCTAAAATTTGAAGCTATTTCCGACATTTTTAAAAATTTAAAAACATCTAAGAATTATGACATTTGACTTTGTTGCAGTTTTTTTTATCTCACCCTGTATAGGCTCCAATATTACGTTAACTCCATATATTCTATATCTTTTTTTTAATATTTGCAAAGCCCTTGCAAATAGTGGAAGATAGTCAAAGTGCGAAACTTACTACCTTTTTACTTGATGGGTTTTTATAGTATGAATTTCGAAACATCCGACTTACTCTATATAAGTACAAGCATCTAAGTTTAATATTTTATCGATTGCTCACTAACAATGCTTTGGTGTTTTAAACCTTTTAGGATATTTCTTGCCCTTGAATTACGAGGTTCTAAACATCTTGTCTTTACCTGCCCTTGTAAGAATAACCGTATTAATCATTTAAACCAAGAACGGTATTCCTGAGTAATTACAACATCCCAGCGCTTAGTGATAGCACAATAACCATGTTTCATAGTTTTGTTACTTGGAGTACATTTTGTAACGCTAAAGTACAAAATCTGTCAGTATTTTACCTCTCTTAGAAAATAAAAATCATGGCCCTATAGAAGATTTCAAAGTTCTTGCAATAGATCAATAATTATATTGTAACATTTTATATGTTTCCGTACTTATTGTACCACTTCAATACGAATCTCCACTAATCCCGGATTAGTTCAACATTTACACAAATAACTATGCTGAATCTTTTACTATAATTTTTTGTGCCGAAACTTTTATAAAAACTCCGAAAATTGACCCATTACTGAGCGTTAAGATCTAAATCTAAGCCTACACACCAAATGTGTTAATATTTCTTGTAGTTCCGAAGATATTAGTGATAAAAATTATGAAATTGTGATGTTCTCCGTCAATAGGTATCTGACATTTATGTTTTTTTTTTTTTTTTTTTTCCTTTTATCCTTTTGGGTATATCCAACACGCTACGTGATCCATAGTTTTTCTAAATTGTATAACTATTGTAAGTAGCAGGCCTTCGATTTTACAGTCAATAGGTTAGGTGGAACCGAACTTTTGGGTTGAATATCCGGGTATATATCCCCCATGCAATCAGGCTAAAAATACCCACCTGTGATAAATATTTTAAAGCAATCCGAGCATAGCTCCTAAACTCAACTTAATGTATGTTTTCTATCTGGAGATTGTGTCCAAATATTTTTCAGACATAATCCCCAAGACAAATGATCGAATGATCAATAATAATGCAGGATGAGATAAAAAACTTCAACAAAGTCAAAAGCAATAATTTTTACATTTTTTTAATTTTATTAATCGAAAGCAAAACATGTCGCAAATAGTATCAAATTTTAGAATAAGTTTAGATTTGTTCGATTTCGTCACCTTTGAAAGGCATTATGGCCTTCAAACGGCCAATGAAACCGTCACACGCTGCCCGAATGTTGCTCTGGGGTATTTTGGCCTGGCGAAGCGCTTGCTTGAGGTGATCGACACTTTGGTATTTTTTTTTATTGCCAACCTTGCTTTCCAAAATACTCCAGACACAATAGTCCAACATTTTGGTATGCAGAGATTTTGGAGGCCATTGTGCGTTGGAAATGAAGAGAGGAGCCAAATTTTGTAATCATTCTTGGTTGGAGAGTGCTGTGTGCAATGGAGCTGAGTCCTGTTAGAATCCAAGGTTTGCGGCCAAAATGTTTGCATGCCCAAGGCTTTAATACGCCCTCCAGAGCGAACATCGGGTGTTATGGCAGCCCACACCATCACCATGGCCGGCTTTTGAGTTCTGATGGCCAACTGAAGGTGCACATTTTCAGCTGACCTCTTTGGCAAGTAAACGCAATCATTTTATTTGTTTATAAACTGCTGAACAACGAATGTTTTCTAATCGGAGGAAACCAATTTAGGTATTTCACCACTTTCGGCCAAGTGAAACATCTCCTTAGCTCTTTTGAGTCTAATTTCTTTCCGTAGCGGTTCTTGCGCTTTTTTTGCGCTATTACGATATGTTCAGCTTACGAGTCATTTTTCGGCCACTGCGACGCAGGTTTCAATCAAGTAATAAACTCGAAAAATACCAATGTCTCAACTCAAACACGACCCTCATGAAAGTGTTAACTCTATGTCTCTATCAATTGGTCGTTTAAAGTTATAACATCGTGTTGCACCGACCCTTCAGTACTATTAGTAACCCTTAAGAACAAGATTAAAAATCATTTGGCTTGTTTTGTACGAGAACGAATCTCATGTAAACCCTTCCTCTGAATCTAATGTAAATCACTTTAATATGAAGTAGAAATGTTTCATTCACCCCTCTTAGCCTTAATATATACAGAATCTCTGTTAATTCTATAGAAGCATTAAAAACGACCATCCGGACATCCGGACTTAATAAATAAAATATTTTTCCTGTTTTTGTTTTTTTTTTTTTTTTTTTGGCTTATTTAGAAATAAGCTTTATTCCACTCGTACTTGAGTTCGTTTTAGTGATTTCAAAAAACTTTCCAAAGAGGAAGCAAACAACAAAACTGCAACAAACCAACAACAACATCAACAACATTAACATCAACCATAACAACAAAACAAAAATCTTTTAATCATCTGTTATACTTCTTTTATGCCATTTTTATGTTTTGTAAACACACCAAACTTAGTTCTACGTTTCTAATTTTTTTCATCCTGCTGTTAGCTTTGGTTTCTTTATACCCTTCACAGTAGTATGAAGGGTATATTAAGTTTGTCATTCCGTTTGTAACATCGCGAAATATACATTTTTGATCAGCATAAAATTCTATGTCGATTTAGCGATGTCCATCCGTCTGTCCGTCAGTGGAAATCCTTATAGCTTCCGAACGAATTATAGTAGATTAATAAACCTTTAATCAAATGTTCTGTCTGCAGGACTTTTAGTATTGAAAATGGGCCATGTCAGTCCACGTTTTGGTATAGGACCCATATAACTCTAGCTCCCGATATTCGGTATTTTGATGATTTTAAGGACATTATTCACCGGAATTGTTTCAAATTTGGTATTTGAAGTTCGTAATGGATACTACAGCCTAAGACAGAAAATTATCTGTGAAGGTCCATGTCTTCGTATAGGCCCCATAGAACGGTATTTTGATGATTGTAGCTACATTATTCACCGATTTTTTTATGTTTCGCATTTTAATATTATAATGTCCGTCCCATATACCCTAATATAACAGCTAAATTTGGTACTTTTAAAATTTTAACAGAATTTTTAATGGATTTTATTGTCTTTGAAAATTGCCAAAGTCGTTCCGAATGGTAGAGGGTATTCAACGTTCGGTCCGGCCGAACTTACAGCTTTTTTACTTGTTCTTTCTTTCTTCGACTTTCTTCCATGGGTTTAGACTAATGTGTGTGTGTGCTTCCTTTTGATATTTGCAGCGTAAAACATTTGCCGTTTCACATCACGGCAAAAGTGGCGGTCTGACGTTGGACTGGCAAACGGGATTTGCATTGGCCGAGGGTGCCGACTCGGCCATTGTGTGGCAGTATAAATTCTCACAGCTGAGAGGTTCCAGTGATGATGGCAAATCCAAGCTAAAGTTACATTTTCAGGATCACGAGACGCGAGCTATTGAAACAAAAGTAAGTACGAAATACCGTTATGACTACTAGCTAAGTATGTGGTAGTGTGTATTTGACTGTGTGTGCGTAGAAATGCGAATAAATAAATAATGGCGGTTGCTACCAGAATCCAATATGAACATGTGGGCGTAGGTGAGTGCGGTGCGAGAGTGTATCTGTGAGTGAGAGTTGTTGTTAATGAATGAATAAGTGATTTAAAAAATTGAGGGAAAAAACGTCACTCCTCTACTTAACGTACCTATCTAAGTAGCAGTTACAATTTTTTCGCCATTAAAGTTGTGTACTTTGTTCTTTAAATAGCGACCATATTTCCGCTGAAGTGGTTTTCTTATTTGCTATTTTTTGTTGTTGTTATTTTAATTTTTCTATTGCTAAGTTATGGCTAAGCATAGTCCGTTTTTATTGTTTTGTTATTGTTATATGGGACATATCATACATTGGGAAAAGGAAATAGAAAAATAAATGTGAGAGATGGAATTGAATATCCTGTTACAGAGGGCAAATATAATAGATATAGTCGATATAATAATAATAATAATAATAATAATAATAATAATAATAAGAATGATATTAATAATAATAATAATAACAACAACAACAACAATAATAATAATAATAATAATAATAATAATAATAATAATAATAATAATAATAATAATAATAATATAATAATAATAATAATAATAATAATAATAATAATAATAATAATAATAATAATAATAATAATAATAATAATAATAATAATAATAATAATAATAATATAATAATAATAATAATAATAATACTAATAATAATAATAATAATAATAATAATAATAATAATAATAATAATAATAATAATAATAATAATAATAATAATAATATAATAATAATAATGATAAGAATGATACTAATAATAATAATAATAATAATAATAATAATAATAATAATAATAATAATAATAATAATAATAATAATAATAATAATAAGAATGATATTAATAATAATAACAATAATAATAAGAATGATATTAATAATAATAATAAAAATAAAAAAAATAATAACGATAATAATAGTAATAATAATAATAATAATAATAATAATAATAATAATAATAATAATAATAATAAAAATAATAATAATAATAATAAGAATGATAATAATAATAATAATAATAATAATAATAATAATAATAATAATAATAATAATTATAATAACAATAATAATAATAATAAGAATGATAATAATAATAATAATTATAATAACAATAGCAATAATAATAATAATAATAATAATAATAATAATAATAATAATAATTATAATAATAATAATTATAATAACAATAGCAATAATAATAATAATAATTATAATAACAATAGCAATAATAATAATAATAATAATAATAATAATAATAATAATAATAATAATAATAATAACAATAATAGTAATAGCTATAATAATGTATGTTTCAGTACTCTTGTACCACTTAAATTCGAGTTTCCACTAGTCCATGTTTATTTCAACCCTTTACACATCCAGTGACCCCCTTCCAAATTTTTGGGTATTATTGGTCGATCAATAGGTACGCTGTACCTTCTACTGTTTTCCGTATCTTTAAGGTAAAAATGTACCGAGTCTTAACACTTTGAGGCGACAGGGACTTCCATGAGAATTACTCTTATATGCGGTACCTTACGAAAGTTACGAAAATCTTGTCGTTTCTCCAATCTCTACGCAAATATTGGCTCCTTGCTATACTTAAACTACCCCAGACAAGATTTAAAAATTGGACCTCAAATGGAACGATTGATACTGTGCACTTTTAGTACATTTTAGTAATTTTGGTACCACTAAAGTACAATTTTTCACAATTTCGGATTATTTTAGGGTGACACAAAAAACTGCATCAAAGTCAAATGACATAATTTTTACGTATTTTTAAACATTTTATTGATATCAAATTTTAGAATAGGTTTAGATTTGTTCGAATTGTTCACTTTTGACATGAATTAAGGCCAGTGAAACCGTCACACGCTACCCAAATGTTTCTCTGCGGTATTTTGGCCCATTCCCGGCGATGCGCTTGCTTGAGGTAATCGACACATTGGTATTTTTTAGTGCCAACCTTGCTTTCCAAAATACGCCAGACAGAATAGTCCAACGGCTTGGTATCCGGACGAATGGTTTAGAAATGCCAGCAGTCTGAAGTTGGCTGCAGTTTTTTCATATCACTCTGTATTTTTTTCCTTCATACGAAACGTGGTCCCCTTACAAAATTCTAAAGCTTTTAATTTTTACCAATTGTCACCTGAAATGTCTCATATAATTATGACAAATTTTGTTTCAAAATTCAGAGTAAACCACTTATAGTTTAAAAAAAGAACTCGTTTAATTTTGATTCCATTATTTCAGTTAGTATTGTTGGTTGCTTATTGTTCCATTTAAATTTTGCCACAACCACTTCAGTGGTAGTTGAATAAGAGAGAGCTTTTAGTTTCAAGAGTTGTTATTATTTGTTGTTATTTTTTTTTCCTTCATTTAGAAAATCATATATTTTATGGCTTGATTGCTCTTTAATTAATTTAAAATGGTAAAGGCGTTAAAAGCTTTATATCGAAGTTCTGGTTTATAAATTGTTTTAGTGATGAATAGAAAAAAAATAGATTGTCATGTAATAAGAGCAATTAATTATCTATTTTTGGAGGTCAAATAATTGTTGATTTTCCATCTGCCTGGTGAAAAGGTAGGAAATGGACAGTGTTGCAATAAATATGATTTAATGGGAGAGTGGTAGAGCTGTAGTGGGTGTCGATCGAAAATTAGCTAAGTCCACAAATAATTCCCTTAGCACTTCTTTATGGCGCCATTCAACACGTCTATTGAAAAATAGTCTCCCTTCAGCTAGTTTACAGAAAATATACTCTATTGAAAATAGACTCGCCCTTCCGCTCGTCTATTGAAATTAGACTTGCCCTCTTCTTCTATAGAAAATATACTCTACACAGATCATCTATACAAGATAGAACCTCGTCTATAAGAGTCAGCTCGTCAATAGAAAATAGACTCGCTCTTCAGCTAATCTATAGATGATAAACTCTCCTCAGTTCGTCTTGAGATAATAGACTAGCTTCAGCACCTGTATAGAAGACAGACTCGTCGCCTCCTCTATGGAAAATGGACCCGCCCATCAGTTCAGTCTATTAAAAATAGACTTGCCCTTCAGCTCCTCTATTGGAAATAGAGTCGCCCTTCAGCTCCTCAGATGAAAATAGAGCCGCCCTTCAGCTCCTCTACTGAAAATAGATTCGCCCTTTAGGTGCTCTTTCGAAAATAGCTAATCTATAGATGATAAACTCTCCTCAGTTCGTCTGGAGATAATAGACCTGCTTCAGCACCTCTATAGAAGACAGACTCGTCTCAGCTCTTCTATAGAAGGTAGACTCGTCTCAGATCTTCTATAGAAGAAAGTCTCTACTCAGCTCATCTATTGAAGATAGAGTCTCGTCTATAGAAGTCAGCTCGTCTATGGAAAGTAGACTCGCCCTTGAGCTCCTCTATTGGAAATAGACCCCCCCTTGAGCTCCTCTATTGAAAATAGACTCGCCTTTGAGCTCCTCTATTGAAAATAGGCGAGTCTTCAGCTCCCTATTGAAAATAGACTCGCCATTGAGTTCCTCTATTGAAAATAGGTTCGCCCTTGAACTCTTCTATTGAAAATAGACTCGCCCTTGAGCTCCTCTATTGGAAATAGACTCGCCCTTGAGCTCCTCTATTGGAAATAGACTCGCCCTTGAGCTCCTCTCTTGAAAATAGACTCGCCCTTGAGCTCCTCTCTTGGAAATAGACTCGACCTTGAGCTCCTCTCTTGGAAATAGACTCGCCCTTGAGCTCCTCTATTGAAAATAGACTCGCCCTTGAGCTCCTCTATTGAAAATAGACGAGTCTTCAGCTCCTCTCTTGAAAATAGACTCGCCCTTGAGCTCCTCTCTTGGAAATAGACTCGACCTTGAGCTCCTCTCTTGGAAATAGACTCGCCCTTGAGCTCCTCTATTGAAAATAGACGAGTCTTCAGCTCCTCCATTAAAAATAGACTCGCCCTTCAGCCCCTCTACCGACGTCAACTCATCTATTGAAAATAGGTTAGCTTCAACTCTACCTATCTTCTATAGGCGAACTGAAGGGAGCTTCAAAGACGAAGTTAAATTATTTTAGATCTGAAATTTTGAAAATTTATGTTTGAAGTCAACAGTTTGCCGCGTATTTTGGTTTAAAGAAGAAACTTCTGAATTGTAAACGTGAGGTTAGTAACTACTTTGGTAGCAAGTGGTTAAATTTAAAAAAAAAAATTATATTCTACATATAAGTAAAATAAAATTTCCATATAATTCTCATAAGTAATGAACATTTCAGTGTCACTAGAGCTTAAATATTAAATCATCGCCAAGATTAAATCTTTAATATCTTATCATTAAGTATAAATCGTCGTAGTTTTAATTAATTAAATGCATTTAGTCAATAATCATTTGTTAATGCATTGCTCTCTTCTTTTTCTTGTTCTTCTTCTTCTGGCTTGTGTTTCTGTTTATTTTCATGTCGACCATCATCATCTTTGTCGAACAAATTGAATAAAACGAATGAACAAATTTCAAACTCCAATAAAAAAAAAAACAAACAAAACAAAAACAAATTCAAACGAAATTGGATGACAGGAACTGGAATGTCAAGTACTGCAGAGTTTGCTATTTTGTATGCATGCGTTTCTGACAGCTAAAGTTGCTTCAGTTGATCCGGCCTTTTTGAGTTCTATACAGCAGACTTAAACAGCAAAAACAACAGCGACAGTGACAAGAACAAGAACAACTCCTGAGGCTGATAATGATAACGAGCGGTAATATTATCTCTAACAAAAAATTTACACACACACTCACAAAGGCAACAGCAACCAACTACATTTCAAACAGGACTTTGTTGTTTGTTTGTTTTGTTTTTGTAATAATTGTAATGCTTTAGTGACAAAGTAAGTGTAGTTTTACAGAAAATTGATTTTTTGTGGAATGTTGATTTTTGTTTTTGCAAAAACTTTTAATGATACGTAAGTATTTTTGAAAAGATAGAAAGAGAAAACAATAACTACAAGGAGTATTATACATATACACGTATAAGATAACAAACACTCTCCCCTCCATGGAGAGAGAGAGAGTGGTCTCTATGGTATTAGTGTATACAACAATAACAACAACAAAAAATAACTTTATTTGTCTTCTTAATACACAGACAAACACACAACAAAAAATTCCGTAGGAAATTAATATCAAATAAAGCTTCTAAATGTTGTTACAACAATAATTTGGAGAGTCTTTAATTTTGAAGACTTGTGTAATATCAAAGAAAAAAATAAGAAAAATCTTACACATCTACCACACACATAATGACACTGATTAGACTTAATGAAGTAAAACAGAAAAATCCAAAAGAAATACAATTTTTTTAGATAACCAATTTATATAATAAATTTGTATAAAAAAAATTGAAAAAATTAAAAACTAAATATTTATTACTTATTATCTACTATGAGAAAAAAATGAAAACAAAATAAAAAATTATATTAGCAAGAGACAAAAAGCTCATTTACTATATAAACTAAATTTTTAGCAAAGCTTATATAATATTAAACCAAAAAGGAAACACATTTATATATATTTAATAAAAATAAAATAAAAATTTTGCAACAACAAAAAATAAAAAACACTAATTTATTGTTTAGAGTGTAATAATATTCGTCGGTATACATCGACTCGATTATAATATTCAACAATAATACAAAAACCAGTAAAGAAAGTCTTTAAGTCGGACGGGCCGACTTTATGATACCTCTCACCATTTTGCTAATTTAGTAGAGCCGCATAACAATTAAAAGTTTGTATGGGAGAATTCAATCATACACGCCATGATTATAATTGTAATTTAAAGTTCAAAGGACTAAATATGCCGGAGCGTTTGTATCTTTTGAATTCGGGCTTGTATTGCTTGTTTGCGTGCCCAAGGCTTTAATACACCCTCTAGAATATTTTCGCGATAATATTCGGCATTTGATGCCAGGTCGATTAATACGAGCGGAGACCGACCATAGGCAGTTATGGCGGCCCACGCCATCACCATGGCCGGCGCTTGAGTTCTGCTGGTCAACCGAAGGTGCACATTTTCAGCTGACCTCTTTAGCGAGTAAACGCGATCATTTTGTTTGTTTACAAACTGCTGGACAACGAATGTTTTCTCAACGGAGGAAACCAAATTCGGCAGTTCACCACTTTCGGTCTAGCGAAGCAACTCTTTAGCTTATTTGAGTCTATTTTCTTTCAGATGCGGTGTAAGTTCTTGAACTTTTTGAAATTTCAATGGCATTACCCCGAGCTCATTTTTCAATATTTGCCGAATGAAATATTACGACATGTTCAGGTTACGACCACTGCAACGCGGGTTTCGATCAAGTCGCTTCTTTACTTTTCGAACCATTTCTGCTGATGTTGCTGATTTTTTCCGTCCACTTCCTTGATGTCGGGCTACGCTACCAGTATAACAGTAACGAGCGATGGCACGAGACACAAAAGATTTATTCACAATTAAATGCTGGAGTGCTCTAACGGTGGCCACTTGTGGTTTTCCAGCCAAATATAAGGATCCTTTTAGTCGAAATTTGTCTCTATATTTTTCCGTTTTGGTATTGCCCCATATAACCACAAATCCACGGAAATTAATCGGATAGTTTTACTCGTGGGTACTGAAGAGATTTACTTTAATCAAATCCAAGATAAAACTTATGCATGATTATGTGACATTATTTCAAACAAAAAAAAAATAAATAAATATAATAATAATTAAAATGTTTAAATCTATAATTTTTATTCTTTCCGAAAACAACGGTCAAATACCGTTGTTTCTTTTTTTTGGAATATTGTGGTTCCAGATCTATGATGATTATTGGAATATATGATGATTGGTTAGGTTCAACATTTGCTTTTATTGTGCAGCGGTTATGGAGATATTCCTTAGGCGAATCTCTATTCTAGTCAAAAGAGTTTCAGATGTGCAAAAACTCTACGACAAATTATAGCGTTGTATGGTATTCGACTATAACCAATGCTTAATTTTTTATGTGTATCTTTACCGATATGTAGAACATTTCTCTTCAGAAATGTTTATTTTAATTGTTTTCTTATATTTTCCTGTATACCGAAATGCTATCGGTATCTGTATAATTTTCAAGGAAAAAAAAGAATTATTTTTGAACCACTTTAGTTCTTTGATTATTTCTTTAACGTTCGACTATCAGCTGGAAATTTTTGTTAATTTGTAATTTTTTCTCCTATTTATTGTTATTTTTGTATTATTGTTGAATATTAAGACCAAAATGGAAAACAATGTTTATTACTTGAAGTATAAAAAATGTATTATTAATTTATAAATAACTTTAAATATATTAATAATTAAATATTACTAAATGTAATTTAAGAAATATAGATAAAAAATATTTATATCGAAACTAAACAAAAAAGAAAATAGAACAAAACCAAAAAATAAATATACACAGATATTGGCCTTTAATTTTTTGTCTATTTTTTAAATAAAACTATAAAAAGAAACTTCTTAACTAATTAAACAAAGCAAAAACAAAAAAGAACAAGAAAAATGTGAATACAAATTAATGCAAATAACATTAAAACATATACATACACACACAAATCCACAAATTCAGGAACAACCAGCGATAAATATTTAAACACATACACACATGCAACGACAAGACGTGAGTGAACAACAGCTACAACAGCAAACACTACTCAAACACTAAAGTGCTAAATAATGAATGCAAAAGAAAAGCAAAGAAAAGCGGAAAAAGAAAATTTAATTTTCACCATAAATAAAGTTACGTTGCGGAAAGCGACAGCGATAGAATTCAAGCTTCAAACAAAAAAAAAAGAACAACACAAAAGCAAAAGGCAAACATAATATATAGCCCACTTGTAAGGGGAACTAGTTGAGAACTAAGGACTAAAGAATAAAATTGACTAATTCGAAATTAAATTCAAAATTCATTAATTAATTATATTTTTCGAACTACGTTCGGTACTATTTAAGAACTAGATATTAGGGAATGAGGTAAGCTCATTCGAAGTGGACTTGAAAATCAATGGCAAAAATTCAAGGAGACTACATTGATGCACCAATTAAATATATTACTTCAACTTTGGTCCGAAAAATATTGGATATAAACAATATATTTGTAATGAATCTAGTAATAAATACATTTTTATTTAAATGTTTATTGTATAATAATTTGTATACCCTCAGCCATATGGCTACAGAGGGAAATTATCATTTGATTCGGCCAAAATGTACCTCATCGATATAACGGTTTTAGACTCTAGGTCTCTTTGGACCAGATCCTTTTGAGAACATTTTCGATCTAGCGATCGACTCTTGAAGGAAGTATCCGATTTGGTCCAAATTTGGTACATCATAATATTATTATTAAACTAAGATCGATTCGAATTCGGAGATGGGCAATATCGGTCCACTCCTTCTGGTACCTTATACAATGTGATGCAAGAGTCCGATTGTCTTCTAATTACACACATCATAATATTTTTTATCAATCCAGGGTCTAGTGTGAAGATTGAATATTTAGGTCCACTTCACGCACAAGGGCCAAAATTTCGAATAATTATAACATTTACAAAATGTGATGTAAGAGTCGGATTGTCGTCAAACTACACACATCACAATATTTTTATCAATCCAGGGTCTAGTGTGAAGATCGAATATTTCGATCTTCAGGTACCTCCCCCACAGAGGTTCAAAATGTTGAGTAATTATAGTTTGAAGACAGTCGGACTCTTACATTACATTTCATAAAGAGTTATGTAATGTAAGAGTCCGACTGTCTTCAAACTACAGACATCATAATGTTTTTTATCAACCCACGGGCTGCTGTGAAGATGGAATACATCGGTTCACTCCTTCTGGTACCTTAACCACCAAGATTCAAAATTTTTCGGACTCTTACATTACATTTTATAAAGAGTTATGTAATGTAAGAGTCCGACCGTCTTCAAACTACAGACATCATAATGTTTTTTATCAACCCACGGGCTGGTGTGAAGATGGAATACATCGGTTCACTCCTTCTGGTATTTTAACCACCAAGATTCAAAATTTTGAATATCCATGAAGCGTATAGAACGCGAAATTTATATCCGATTCCATTCAGACTTGGTACAGCTCAATATTTCCATCAACTCAAGATCTGTTATAAAGATGACCATTTCTTCTGGTACCTCCCCCACAAATGGTCAAAATGTTAAATATCCAAAACGATTATAAAATCCGAAATAAGCATCCGGGTTTCTTCATATTTCACACCAATCCAATTGTTTCTACTAGCATACTATCTGCTGTGGATATGGAATATATCCACTCCTTCTGGTACCATCCCAACAAAGGGTCAACATTTTGAATATCCACGAAGTTCATACAAATGTTTCCATCAACACCTGATCTGTTATAAAGATGGTAAAGATAGGATAATTTCTTATGGCACCTCCCCTCCATAGGTTTCCAGATTTTGAAAAACAAAACGCTCAAAGAAAGTGAAATAGGCATCCAACTGAAGATGAATATTTAATTTATGATTTCCCATAAAATTGGATATTAATATTCGATTTTCTTGTAATTCCATGGCCATTCCAATACTTTTTTCTGTGTAAGGTGTAGTACGGAAATGGGATACTTTAGCCGATTATATCTGGTACCGCATGCATCACACATGTGTTAAATTAAGTAAAGGAAGTAAACAAAATAGTCCAAACCTGGCATTTCGCAATAATTAGATTATATTTATTTATGTCCCATACGATATAAACAATATTGACCCATTCCTTCGGAACCTACTCCATAGAGGGTCTACAATTTGAATAATCAAATATAATAAAAAAAAAAATATTTTAATAATCGAACATTGGTCGAGGGTATACATCTGCCGGCAAAACCGACTGATACGTTTTAGATTGTTCTAACTACGTTGAGAACTAATTAAGACAAGCGACTGGGATATACTCATTCGAAATTGACTTCAAAATCAATGGCGATGTCCGTCTGTCTGTTCATCTGTATGTCTGTTGTAATCACATTATCTTTCGAACGAATAGTGATAGAAGGCCAAAAGGCTTGCATACAAGCATAGTTTACCAGTAGGCAAGTTAAGTTCGTAAATGGGTTCTGACGGTCCACGTTTTCTTATAGCCCCCATAAAAAATTGTTTGTGCAGTTCTACGTCTTCGTATAACCCCCATATAGCGGTACCTCCCAATATTCGGAATTTTATTGATTTTAGCGACACTATTCAACGGAATTGTTTAAAATTTGGTATTTGAAGTTCGTGATAGATACTACAGTCTATGACAAAAGATTGTCTGTGCAGGTCCGCGTCTTCTTATAACCCCCAAACAGCGGCACCTCACAATATTCGGTATTTTGATGATGACAGCGACATTATTCAAATTGTCTCGAATTTGGTATTTGAAGTTAGTAATGGATACTGCAGCCTAACACAGAAAATTCTCTGTGCAGGTCCACGTCATCGTATAGCCCCCAAATAACGGTATCTCCCGATATTTGGTATTTTGATGATTTTAGCGAC